ATTTCCAGTGCTTATCAACTTCACTGACAGTGATTCCTTCTACTAATCTGTGTGGAGATAAACTGATAATGCCAAGAGCAGCTACATCTGTATCACCTTATAATATCTAGGCAAGAAGTTCAAGAATATAGGGCTCAGCTGGTATTCATATCTGTGAATTGCCTTCTACTTCAGAAGAGATAATTGGTTAAAAAAAGGATTTGGCTGAACCATGACAAGCTTGATCAGGAGGGCTTTGAAAGAATCCTGGGGAAGATGAGACAAAACTGTGAAATAAAAACTGCAGATAAAGATTTATGCACCATATAAAAAAGTAGAAGTGCTTTAATTGCCTTATTGAAACACAGCAGTAAAGAATATAATTAATTTAAACAGAAAGGAAGCAGAGAAAGGGGAAAGACTTTGAGCGAATGCTGAAAACACACACACACACACACACACACACACACACACACACATACACATATACAGGGAGGGGGAGATCCAAGAGAATGGGCGTGGATTATCATTTCCAGTAGCAAACTACAGAGACATACAATAGCAATGATGAGGGAATGGTAAGCACTGAGGTGATCATAGTAGTCACAACAACATACACTTAATTTGCAATGTAAAATGGTTTTGTTAGCATTATTTTATCCCTACTTACTACTACTACTACTACTACAAATATTTTCTTCTTAATCATTGTAGTGAAGGGGTCTTTCTAATGTTCATAATCAGTGCTCTTTCAAAACTGGTGTCTATGTGTTTTTATAGAGGCAAAGGTAATAAATGATTTTTTGAGGATGCAAGTTCAAGATAATATAGATCTATCAGATGGTTAATTAAGCCAGTAACAAACAAAAAAATGGAAAAATATTATTATATTTATGGTGGTAATATATCTATTATATTATATATATTTATATAATGTGAACAAAATATTGTATTATTTTATGGATGATATTCATACTTATTGTAATTAATGCCTAAATGACAGAGAAATATACAAAATAGAACATTATGTACTTAACTACAGAACAGCTTATTTAAAATCAATTTTCAATGCCCTCTGAAAAAGGCAGCTTTAATTTAACATATTATCCCACCCTTTTCTGCACCTGCTTTCTGAAGAGTAATGGGAAACAGCTACTTATCATTTACATTAAATGAAAATAATTCTGTTCAGCACATCCACTATAATTAATGTCAAAATTTACCCCATGACTTAATAATCTGACTTCTATGACACTAAACTTTTGACATGTATCCAATGGTGGGATTCAAATATGGGAACAACTGGTTCTCTGTGTTGGTGCCACTTCCGGAAGTCCATTCTGGGCAGGGGCAATAAAAATATTAGCTACCGCTTCTGCTGAAGTGGTGTGAACTGGCTGAATCCCACACTGTGTGTATCCATCTGATTTTTAAAATAGCTTTTATGTATTCATATAGAAATTAGAGATCATTGCATTTGAAATGTTACATAATGTTTCCAGAATGGATCCAAAATTTCTTCCAAACAAATTTAGTGAAACAATAATAGATATGAATCACCCACATACATTTAGATAATCATGTTTTCAAAGGGCATTTGTAGCTTATAATGCTGAAGCACATTTACAGACATAGCATTAAATCTATGCATAGAATTATTTTTATATATTCACTGATTCACTAAAAATTATTATTCGTAAAAAAAAAAGCAAAACAGAGATATTCTATTCAGTCTAATAGGCTCAACATCATGAAACTTTATTTAAAAAGTTTTATGGTAGAGTTCTGAGAATGGACAATATAAAAATATGTTAATAAAACCAATAAATATCTTCCAAATACTTCTTTTATGCAATACAATTCAGGTTTTCCAATGGGTCATAAAATATTAATGTTTTGTTGTTTGGAATTAAGTCTTGCTTCGTTTATTGTCTTGCAGAATAATATTTGGACATACATTTAAATATTTATCTTAGAAAATATATTAAGTAGATAAGCATAGATCCACACACACTGTCTATTAATGCATTACTGTAAGCAGTTAGATATTTTGGAAAATAATATTTGGGAATATGCTTTGTGTGCACTTTCATAGGCATATTTCAAATGTTTACATCTTTATTTTTAAAGAAAAAATATGCCTAATAAAGGTTAATAAATTGCATACATCATCTGAAGACTTTATAACACCATATTGTTTTGGGGTAATTTCAAACATAATTACTTATGTTTTTAAAATATAAATATTTATAAGACAACAAAGGAGTGACTTTGTTAATATCTAAATTGGTCATTAAGAGCTACAATTATTCATGTAACTGTTAGTTAATGTTGGCGGAAATACATAGGATAAATGAATTTTAGTAGCTACAAAACTTTTAAAAAATCTTTTTATAGGTAGCACAACAATCAAAGACTATTTGTTCTGTAACACATACTGCTCACAGTTCAAATTCATATCAGCTGTTTTACTTATATCAGGCCACTTATCTTGCCTGCTTGGAGTTATTTATAAGTTTATATTATTGCTTGTGGCATGCCATATTGTGAAGGTATGTGAAAAGACAGGGAACACATGCACTCAGAGGCACATGCTACAGCCTGACAGTTGTATGAACTTCTATTACAATTCTGTCAAATATTATAGGTAGTCTTTGGTTACAACCACTCACTCAGTGACCATTCAATATTATGATGGCACTAAAGGAGTAGTGGTTATGACCAATAGTCAAAGTTCCAATCATCACAGCACCTCTACAGTCAGGTAATTGCAATCTAGATAGTTGCATCCAGCTATCCCATGGTCACATGGCTGCAATGTGTGATCCTCCTGCTGGTTTCACAGAGTGAACAAGGAATTGGCAGGGAAGATTACAAGTTGCTTGGATAAGTCTCCTGCACCCACACTCTCTCTCTGCATCTCATTGTACTCATGCTGTGCCTCCCTAGCCACCCATGCATCCTCCCTCGTACATTCTTCCACCCTAAGCCCCACAACACTTGTCCACACTCTGTGCTCTCTCTACTTGCACACTCTGTCACTGAGCAACAACCCTTCTGTTCTTGTGCCATGCTTCTCCCGCCACTTGAACATTCTTACATATCCTCTTCCACCTGGTTAGCAGCCACCCCAAACCCTGCCACAGTCATGCTCCCTGCAACCTGTGTATACTTGTGCATCCATTCTCATCTGGCAGCAGTCATTGAAAGCCCTGACTCATTTGTGCTTCTTGCCATTGGTGCCTTGCACACCCCCTTCCACCTGGTAGCAGACACCACAGGTCCTGCCATGCTCACACTTTCCCTGCTAATTATACGCACTAACATGCCTTCCCCCATCCAGTATCAACCATCCCAACTCCACTGCCTCATCACCCTACATAGCTCTCTTCTTACAAAGATTTGCAAAGGTTTCTATATTTTTAACTGTGATTCAGTTTGCCAAGTTTTACAGTTTTAGACTGAATAAATACACCTTGGAATCATTTATTTAGCTAATATTCTATTCTATTATATTCTGTTCTACATTAGTCATAACAGAGGAATAAATAAACAGCAATGGTTTTATAAACGTTTAAGCGATTGTGAACTCTGATCCTCTCCTCCACAGATCATATACTTTTCCACAAAAAACACCATTTGACATATTTCTGTAAGATATGTTATCTCCATATTTGTCTATCTTTACTAGTGGAAACATATCAATCCAAAGTAAACATTCTGGTTTACTTTCCATGTAACAGGAAAGCATGGTTTCTCTTCCTTACATTACTAGGAATTTTTTTTTTAACTATATGAAATAGAATTGTGGTTCAGGGGCAAAGGACAAGATCAAATCTTTTTCTCAATATAGAGTTATAATCATAGTTATATTGCAACAGAGTACAATATAGATACTTTCTGTCCTTTATTGTGTGAAAGAAGGTAATATAAGAAAGAATTTTGAGTCAAATATTAAGTACAACTGATTACACAATGGAAAGTGACTTTCATATGGATAACTGAACTTAACTTTGATATGAATATGTGAAGTATATAAATAAAAGTATGTGAGCATAGTATATCAAGCTTGGACATAGGGAGTTTCAAGAATGAAGCAAGTGAAATGTTGCCTCAAATGAGAATGGAAAGGGATAAAAAGTGAGGAGTGATATGTCCCTGCACTTGGACCTATACAATGGCACTAGGAGTGATGAAGTGTGCATCTGTTCTACTCTTATTGCATCATGCCCATCAGTACTTTCAGAGTGATCCAGCCCTTCTAAAGGGTGGGCAAAATACCAGAAGATTACCTGGATGTTTTGGCAGGCTTCTTTGTGATCATTTAATTTTTTAGGAGAAATTTAAATTGCAATCTCACATAAAAAATTGCAGCATATGTCATATGATCTATAGCATTTCTGAGATGTTTGTTGATGAAAAGCATAAAGGGATATTATATTTGTACAAATAGTATACGATGGGTTTTGAAACATATGCTGCTATATGTTTAATTGACTCTCCATTTATGCTAAAATAATTTGGCTGATTTCCATGTAAGTGGATGGCAAATCTGTCTACTTACATGGAAATCTTATATTCTCTTATCTTCTCTAAATAAAGAAATAAACAGGTAGTTGTTATAGTCCTACTTTAAAAAAAATCCTGAGTATAATTAAAAATGATGTTTATTTATTGAATCGATCTAATCATTAAAAAAATCTGTTTATAATTACATTATTCATTGGCTCAGGTGAGCAGTTGCAGGGGATAGCAAATTACTTCCTATCATAATATCATCATGCAAAGGATGTGAATTACTTTCATAATAATATTATGATGTAAATAACCTATAGTACATAATTTACAATATTTGCCCAATGACACCATAAAATATACAACATAATCTGCCCCAATCTTGCAGCTGCTAATGGTGACTGGTTGCTTTCAGCAGATTAGAATTAATCTACTTAAATTAACAATATATTATTGCTCACTGTTAAGATAGTAACATAATATTTATCTGAAAAGTAGTATCCTACCTTCACATTATCTGGATGAAGTCCTCCAGGATGTTTGTCCATGTACTGACATAAATCTGTGTGCTTGAAAACAGAAAGGAAATAAACTATTTTTCAATGTCTTTTTTAAACAAATCTGTATACTTCTGTTTGAAAGCTACTATTAGATATTCTTCTGGATATAACAAATGAAAAATAAGGAAAATGTAAGTATAGTTTAAATAGTGCCATATTTATACCACCATCAGGCTCTTTAATATATGATCAATATATTTGCATATCATTTTCTTCTATCTGTAATATCATAAAACAAAGACTAGAGTCTCAAACAACTTAAGGTATAATCCAAGATGGTTAAATAATAAATAAGCATTCTTACAATATGCATAAATCATGACCAAACAAGTAATAAGCATTTTGATAGAATTAAGGAAGTTTAAATATGATTGTTTCAAAAGTTCAAAGGTATTGAACTTGGGACTGCCACGAAAAAGAGGAGGTCAACATTTTATTCAAAGTACTTGAAGGCAGGACAAAAAGCAATGGATGGAAACTAATCAAGGAAAGAACCAATCTAGAATTAAAGAGAAATTTTCTGACTGTTAGAACAACAATTCATTCCAAGAAACATAAATATGCTTCACAATATTATTATAGGTACATAAAGGACAATGCTAACCTGCATTCTAAAAAAAAACTTCCAGTTACTCTTTCTAAGTACATTATTTATTTAATTTTTGTGATACACTGGAATGCAGAAACTACCATTTATTCTGTTGAATATGTTTTAAGCCAGGGGTCCCCAACCCCCAGTCCATGGACCAATACTGGGCCGCAGCATGCCAGCAACGAGTCCACACAAACAAGGAAAGCTCCATCCACAGGATGCAGGCAGCACACAAAACCACACCCTCTCCATTCTGCAGAAAAACCTATATCCGTGTAACTGGTCCCTGGTGCCCAAAAGGTTGGGGCCCTCTGTTTTAAGCCATCTTCTTGCGCTACCAAACAAAACAAATGAACAGTTTAAGTATACCACTCAAATACTTTAAGTGAAGCAGCAGTGACTGTTACAGGATCAGACATTTAATATTTAGCCACCCAGCTTTACCTTCGTAGCAGCTACTTTTATAATACAAAATTTGCTTAAGGCAGACTTCATTAAGAATACAGTAGTTGGGATATATTCTCTCCTGCAGAAATGACCATTAGGAACTACAGATATGAGTACAGCTACAAAGGATGGATAGGAGAGTCAGCTGTGCTTTTAAAACAGTTGGAAATATATGCAACGTCTGCTTCAATGTTGGCAAAAGATTGGTTCTTTTGCACAATGGATTAACAAGACTTCAGGCCATATTACTGAATAAGAGTTTGCAGTGTAAACTGCTTGAAATTGCAGCAAAACATAAAAGGATGAATAATAAAGAACTTTTTTCCCATTCTTCTTCAGTCCTATATGAATACTATTACTAAATGCAATGCTTTATTAGTTCCTTTTTACAGGAAATACATTACACTATCATCAAATCATTACTGCATTGTGTGCTTGCTTTTTTCAGAGTACAGAAAACCTTTCGTTTTCTTTTTTCTTTCTTTTTCTTTTTTTTTAAAAAGTAAGACTATGACAATCTCCATAGATTGCCTTAGGACAGTCTTCCATCATGAAAAGTCACAGTTCAGAAATTTCTTTTAACATTTGAGAAATAGGGGAATTGTGTCTTTCATCAAATATTTAAGTCCTAGTATTCCTCACTATTTCTCTTTTGCAGTTTAATCAGTAGCAATTGCAGCCATACTTTTAATTTGCCTATACACACACAGACACACACACACACATACATATACCTAAGCAATGTCACAGAAATGAAAAAATATATGAGAGCTAATTTATACAACTAATTTAAAGTTGTTAATAGGTTTTTTTAAAGATTTTCCAATGTATAGAATTTTAACAAAGAAGTAGTATACTTTTGTCTATTCTTTTTAAAAAATAATAACATTAAATAAATGGAGAAAAAATATTTCAAAGATTATTAGCATACCAGTGTACTATATGACGAGTCACATGTATTCCAGTGATCAGGAGTCTGGCAGCATCTTTTCAGATTAACATATTTTATTAAAAATATAAGATTTCATGAAATGTAGCTCACTTTGTGAGATGTACGGAATAGTTAGACTGAATCTATGAAGCAAAAGGAAAAAGGTAGGGGAAATGAGGAGAATGTGGTCACACAAATGCAGAGGGCATGCAAGGTAGTTGTGAAGATGCAAATAAGATACCTATATTTTATAAATTAACAAACATAATCTGTAAAAGGTACTGTTGAACTCGCTCAAAAGAGTTTCAGGCCATATCTCAACAAACACAACTGGTGTTTTAATACATTAAAGTTGTTCGATAGAAACTTGGAAAGTAGACTCTGAGATCTGCAAAGTGTAATTGTATACAGGTTCAGACATGTGCTATTTATTTTTAATCAGCTGGAATATTAAAATAAGGTACATTATAAAATCAATGTTGATTCTATTTTAAGAAAAAAAGGAGCAGACATGAATAAAGTATAAAAAACCATGGCTCATCAAACATGCATTGGAGTGATGTAAAAGTTCCAGTAAATAAGAACATGAACAACATATTAATCAAATTAACCAAACACTGGAAGTTTTTAAGAAGAGACTGGACAACCATTTGTCTGAAATGGTATAGAGTTTCCTGCCTGAGCAGGGGGTTGGACTAGAGGACCTCCAAGGTCCCTTCCAACTCTATTATTATTATTAGCCCACATTTACACAAGACAGGCATGGGCCTAAAGAATTTCACACACAAGGTTAGAGGTCCCTTTACACCCTCTTCCTCTACTGTGATACATGGGCCTAATTTTGCCAGCACAATTGGACATGAGACAGTTAAACTCGCATCAAGAATTTTCAGGCAATCTTAGAAATCCTAAAAAAATTCAATAACTTTTTTAATATCTTAAAATTGTTAATAGATAACAAGGTTGTAATTTGTCTTCCTTGGAACCCTCATTTGAATTACTGCATTGTCTTCTCTTCCATTTCCCTAACTCCAACTCCATCCTATATATTTTAATCCCATATCAATCAAGCCACATCATAAATATAATGAAATGAACTTTTTTACTTTAAAATATTATCTTGCAAGATGGACAACCTTGAAATCTGGCTGTTATTCTATGTTTTAGAATAGGGTAGATGCAGTTGATTGATTTTATGATCAAGTTTAATTTGAAATTTACAGAATATGCATGCAAGATATGCTTCTTATGATTAAAAACTGGAATGCCAAAGTTAGAAACATGAACGGAGAAAATTTAGTTGGACTATATGGTTTATTAAACCAAAAATAAGTAGGAAATCAACTTGTCACTTTCTGCCATTCCAAAGATTTCTTCATAACTGCCAATGTTTTTAAACAATCAAAACGATACCTCCATACACAGACATCAAAAGATCAAATATATTGAAATCAAATTGACTGTGGGTGGAGATCCTCCACTTTAGCATCAAAGACATTAGTCAGATGCTGACTGTTGAACAAATCAGTGCAAGTTCCAAGTTAAGCTAAGAAAAAGCCAGTCAAGCTTCCACAATATGATCCTGAACATATGCCCACCATTTTCTAGGAGAACACTAGAAATCATTTTGAAGTCCTGACCCTCATTAATAAAGAACCAGGGGAATTATGGAATGAGTTAAATAAGTAATTAAGGATGTCTGTGAAAACAGATTACCGAGAAAAAAAGAAGCAAACTGGTTATCAGAAGAACCATAGAAATTGCCAAGAAGTAAAAAGAAGCCAAAGCCCAAAGGACAAAAATTTCAAAAAGGAATATAACAAAGAGTTTCAGGGAGATGTTGGAAGACACAAGAAGCAATAGGAGATTATAACTTAAAGGACTAAAAAATACACCAATGGACAAATAGTAAGCAATTTAAAGGAGATCAAATGAAAATGGAAGAAATATATTGAAGTACTATACAGTGAAATATTAAAATATGTTACAATTATGCATTCTCTCCTTTCCTTTCCTTGCAGACTTTGCAGGGAAACCTCTCCTCAGAAATGGGGGCTGGAGAATAAAAAACAGAGCGTTTCTGCAAATGGGGTTGGGAAATCCACCCTCGCCTTTCCTTTTCTTTCCAACTTTGCCACTTCCCATTTGCTGATACATCTCTGGGTGATTTTTCTTCTGGTGGGATACTCAGTTAGCTCTGCATCCTGGCCACGCGCACTGGTGGCACCGACTCAGTCATACTCACATTGCTCCATGCAGGTGGTCACCCCCACCCAGCTGCCCTGAGTTTTCTATGCTGAGCTGGCTGTACCTAGTTCTCCATGCCGACCTAGCCATACCCACCTGGCTGTACTCAGATGTTCATGCCCACTCAGCCGCGCCCACCTGGTTTGTGAGTTTCTATTGCTGCTATAGATCTGATTAACATGCATACAGACCTACAAATGCAGGTGTCTATATTTATATAGTAATCATTTTGAACTTCAGGAACAAATGTTAATTTTGAAACGTATATCTACCTCCTTCTTATTCAGCATTCTTTCTTTATCTCTTACACATATTTCCAATGAAATATGCTCATAGCTCTTTCCTTAGCTATGATAAATCTGTATGTGACTTAGCTTTCCCATAGTTCTACCTAATTGGTTTCAGCTGTCATATCTAAAATGAAATGGATGGAAAGCCTGAGGCCTATGAATGAACAGGAAGCATTTGCAACTACATTCCCATCATGTCAAACCAGCAACATGAAAGAGCTCTCCCATTAAAACAAAAACAGTACTATTTGGCTTCTGGCAATGACATCATGAGGCAGACAGATTGGATTGTTTCACTGAGGCTGCAAGATTGCTACAAACCATTCTTTTCTGCTAAAGAGATTGCACATACATTTATCATGTTCTGGATAGTCTACTGACTAAACTACTTCCCTATTGTCACCATTCTTAAGCAGATGCGGCAATGGAAAAAAGAATAAGAGAACTAAATATGAAACAGAACTAAATATGAAGTAAAAGACCTGCATACAAAATCCAAAGG